CCGATAGGCAAGGTAAGCACGGCGCCTACCTTGCTTACCAGATCATCTGTAGTGAACAATTTCACGTTTTTTCACCACATCAAAGATTCTGCTTCTAGGTCTGGCTGGCATCTGTCTCTCCAAGATGTGGTGAAACCCATGTGAAATTGTTCACTACAGATTAGTAAGTAAGCACAAGTAAGCCCATGCTTACCTTGCTTACTGGGTCATCTGCTCCTGGCCACATGGGCTGTGTTTGAGGACGGTCCGGCTGTCTGACTTGGCGGGAACACTGAGCAAGAGTAGCCCTGTGAGTCACGGTCAGCCAAGTGGTCAGTGAGAAGCGAAGCCACCATGTAGCCCAGGCCACCTGTCATAGGAGCAGAGTAAAGGGCCTGGGGCAGGGGCAATTGAAACAGGTGAGGTTGTGCACTACAGATAAGTAAGCAAGCACAAATAAGTCCATGCATACCTTGCTTATTGGGTAATCTGTCCCTGGGGTAAGAGTTTCGTGAAGAGGTGGGACTCGAGCTGGGCTTGCCAGGTTCCGTGACATTTTGCTGGGCAAAGAGGAGGGAGGGCATTTCACATGGAAGGGCCCATGAAGATAGAGGCGTGAACAGATAAAGGTTCCATCAGCAGGTCTGGGGGACCCTGATGGCCAATGTTGCCGGGGTTAAGGAAGGACAGCAAATGAGAGCTGGGAAGGGTGGGGGTGGGCAGAGGGCTGCAGGGTCAGGGATAGAAGCCAGAGGGGGGCTCTGAGGCTGGGCCCCCGGCCTGTGGGAGATGGTAAGGGGGAGCCTGGAGCTGGAGTGAGAACAGGGTGAACCCACAGCTGTCCCACCAGGTGGCTCAATGGGATAGCGAGAGCTGCTCGGAGCACCTGCTACTACCTGCAGGTTCAGTGCCAGACGAGCCACACAGGCTCACAGCCTCGCCCACCTATGGGTTACCAAGGCAACCGGGGCAAACGTCTCTCAGGTCGTCTAGCAAGTCCCAAGGCCATTGCCTCTTTACCTGTTTCCCCCAGTAGGCAGCAAGCTCCTGGAGGCCAGGGGTGCCCAGCACAGACTGGGTTCTTGCTGAAGAGATGAATCAAGAAGTGCCCTGCCAACTGGACTACCCTAAAAGCTAAGAAGTTTCCTGAATACAACTGAACACTTCGAGGGACAGAATAGCAGGGGTGGAGGTATGGGGACCATGGTTTTGGGGAACATCTAGGTCAACTGGCATAACAAAGTTTATTAAGAAAATGTTCCACATCCCACTTTGGTGACTGGCGTCTGGGGTCTTAAAAGCTAGTGAGCGGCCATTTAAGATGCATCAATTGGTCCCAACCACCTGGAGTAAAGGAGAATGAAGAACACCAAAGACACAAGGAAAATACCAGCCCAAGAGACAGAAAGGGCCACATAAACCAGAAACTGCATCAGCCTGAGACCAGAAGAACTAGATGGTGCCCGGCTACCGTCAATGACCGCCGTGACAGGGAACACAACGAAGAGTCCCTAATGGAGCAGGAGAAAAGTGGGGTGCAGAACTCAAATTCTAGTAAAAAGACCAGACTAAATGGTTTGACTGAGACTGGAGAGGCTCCAGAAAACATGGCCCCCAGATTGTCTGTTGGCCCAGAGCTGAAACCATTACTGAGGTCAGCTCTTCAGACAAAGATTAGACTGGACTGTGGGACATAAATGATACTCATGAAGAGTGTGCTTCTTAGCTCAAGTACATACATGAGACTAAATGGGCAGCTTCTGGCCGGAGGTGAGACAAGAAGGCAGAGAGGGTCAGGAGCTAGTTCAATGGACAAAGGAAATCAGGGGTGGAAAGGAGGAGTGTGCTGTCACAGTATAGGGAGAGCAACTAGGGTTACATAACAATATGTGTATAAATTTTTGTATGAGAAACTGACTTGAATTGTAAATCTTCACTTAAAGCACAATTTAAAAAAATAAATAAAAAAGAAGTGCCCTGTGTCACTGCTACAGCCACACAAAGGGGGGCCAGGTGGCTCCCGGCAGGAAAGAGACACAGTCACTGGTTTTGTGAGCTCAAGCTACAGGCGTGAAGACGGTTAGGCAGGATGGGCTGGATCTGCAGGCAGAATCAAGGATGCTACTTCCCAGATTCTGCAGTTTCCAGGTGTTCATGAAAACCCCCCACTTCCAAACAGGAAGCCCTAACCCCAGTTAACACTCATATGCACACACGTGCTTGTGTACACACGTCCATGTAGGCACACGTACATGTCACCCCGCCTCTGAGCCTCAAAGGCCGCTCAGACTCCATCAGCCTACATGAAGTGTGCCTGGCCCTCCTGAAAAGCTCCCTGCACGGTCACGGCATCACTTTTCCCAGTAGCCCAGAGTGGGTATTTGTCCCTTGCCAGCACTCCCACAAGCCCCCCTCAGGTCTGTGGCTGAGCCCAGAGTGGCCCTGATTGGAGGCAGTTACCCCAGGACAGCAAGCCAACCTGAGTTGTCTTCTTACCACACGCTGTGACCCTGTAGCCAGAGCTTGGCCACCCATACGATCTATTAGCTAATCTCACGTACAGGAAACTCATCTGCCTTTTGCCTTTATAATCTTGCCAGCAGACAGGCTGAAGACGAGCACCGTGGACTTGTTTAACAGCGCCTTAATCGCCCCCACCCACTTCTGCCCCACGAGCTCACACCCGGCTCCGGTCTCAGAAGTTGTTGGATTTAACTGACCCCATACACACAAACATGAAAGTAAAGCTTCGTCAACACATAAACACCGCAGGGAAGGGCCCAGTGGCCGTAAAACCATGCCGGCGAGTCACTCTGAGAATGTCCTGGCTGCCAGACGGTCTTGGAACTTGGGGAGTGAAAAGATACCTCACATATTTAATTCCCAACTGGACTCAATCATCTTTTATTACACAGAGGTTTAAATTTTTCAGTTACAGGAATGTGAACTTGCGAGGACCTTTGTTTCGGGCACGGCCACGGCAACCTCACCTCTGAAACCCGGCAGGATGGCGCTCCAGACCATCGGCGCCGGCCGTGTGCCACAGCTGGAGACGGCCGAGCAGCACCACACTGAGCCGTTCCCCAGTGGGTCTGGGTGACTGTTTCTTCCTCTGTGAAAGGAAGGGAGCGGACCTCAAAGGCTCAGTTCCATCTGTTGTGTGGATGTGACTATGTGCTCCTCTAAAGGGGAATCGTTTTATACTTGTTGACAACAGATTTGGCAACTAGCCATTTTTATCGAGCAGTATTTTCAAAAGCCACCACCTGTCCATCAGTTTGTTGCAGTGTGGGGGCTCGCATGTTGCTGTGATGCTAGAAGCTGTATCACCAGTATTTCAAATACCAGCAGGGTCACTCATGGCGGACAGGTTTCAGCAGAGCCTCCAGACCAAGACACGCTAGGAAGAAAGGCCTGGAAATCTACTTCTTAAATTAGCCAGTGAAAACCCTATGGATCACAAGAGACCATTGCCTAAGAGAGTGCTGGAAGATGGGCTCCTGCTTAGAAGGCGCTCACAATGTACAGGGGCCACAGCAATGGCCTCCGCGCGCGTCTGTGAAGATGGTGCAGGACTGGGCAACGCTTCACTCTGTAGTACGTGACGTTGCCAGGAGTCGGGGCTGACTCAGGGGCAACTAACGACAACCACAAGGGATACACACACCACGGGCACCACCACCCAGCCCTCCCCACAGCACGTGTAGGGAACGAAGACCCCAGGGGGATCCCCAACGGTGGCTGACATTTCTTCTCACAGGAACTTGAGAAGTCTGAACCTGAACCCAGAACGTTGTTTGTTGGACCAGAGACTACACAGCCCCTTGGAGCACCCATCCAAATCCAGCCTTTGTTTGCCAACAACTTGAAATGCTGGTTAGAGACACGTTTCTCAGTGGGGAGCTCTGTATACATTCTGTTTACTTTCTTTTCTTAGATTCCAGAGAGCATCGCCTAAGAAGGAGTGGAGAGTGTTTTGCCAATTCTTTGGCCGTGAGAAGGACACAGCCAAGCCCACCCTTCCTGGGGTATTTAGACAGCTCTCCCAGCAGTGCTCTTGGTGGGAAGAAGGGAGGCTCAGCCCGCCCATGGACCACAGAGGTCAAGAGGAATTCTATTACAACACCATTCTCCTCCGTCGCCCGGGCCCCCAGCAAGATCTTGGTAATGTTTGCCGAGCATGGGTATTTCCTCAGGGGACTTTCAGGCAGAATTATACCCATGATTTCACCTCCCAGGGACCTGGACATTTTCCTAGGAAGAGAGTTCAAGTTCCTGTATCCAAAAAAAATAGCCCTGAGGTTTGTCCAGGCCTCTAGATTTTACAATTTGGCTTGGCAGCCCCTAAGTACATGCTCTCAGGTCCCCCGTCTCGTCCTCGTCTCTTCTTGTTATTCTTGCTGGTTTAATAGTCTGTTTATAAGCTCTAGGAAGACAGGACTGAGGTCAGTCTTGCTCACTGTGGTATCTCCAGCTCCTAGCACGGTGCCTGGCCGAGAAGGCTCCAGATAACGACTTCCCCAATGAGTGAATGAGCAGTCCCTCCCTCAGGGTCAGCCTGACATCGGCCTAACAGTGCTCTGACAACTGGCCATCCCTCCCCTAAGCACACAGCAGGAGAGGGGTTTCAAGGTGACAAATATTGATGTAGACAAGCTGGAGTCAACCTCTTGCCCTGAGATCTGTTTTGCAATCTTTAAAGGGCAAAGGGGAGCTCTTGCAAATATCCATTAGGAGCCAAGAATTTGAACTTGCTACCCTGGCTGCTGCGGTTGTGTGGCCCCTTTCCCAGATGTAATGGTAAATTCGCGTCCCAAGTTGTTTCTACTCAATTCAATGCCCATATGTTGTCTCTCAAACGGGGTCGGCTCCCAGAGCAGGCTTTATGGCAGAGGCTTGGCCACTCCGAGCTAGCACGAGTCCTGCGTTTGTCAGGGCCACCAGTGGACCATCTCCCCCAGGCGGAGGGCAGCCCTGAGGGTCCCTGTCCCCTCCGCCCTCCGGAGCCCCCTGCAGCTTACCACTAAGAGGATGGGGGACGGTGAACTGCTTCTTGTTGGCACGGACGGGTAGGAGGCTCTGCTTCTGCCCTGGGTTCTCGCCCCGCTGAGCCTTCCTCTGCTGTACCATGTGTTCCAGTTTCTTCAGCCTCTCTCGCGAGCGAGAAATGAATTGCGGCTTATGGACTTCTAGTGCTTCCTAAGTGGAACAAGGGAAATATTTTAGGAGAAGTGATGTGGAAAGGCAAGATATCCGTCTGATTTGGCCAAGAAGCCAATCCAAAGCGCAGCACTTAGAGGACCAGAAAGCCACAGTGCCAAAACCAAAACCCTGTGCCAGCGAGTCGATTCTGACTCACAGCGACCCTGTAGGACACAGTAGAACTGCCCCCTAGGGTTTCCAAGGCTGTAATCCCTACGGAAGCAGACTGCCACATCTTTCTCCTGTGGAGCGACTGGTGGATTTGAACCACTGATATTTCGGTTAACAGCCAAGCACTTAACCGCTGCGCCACCAGAGCTCCTTACACGCCAAAGCAGGCAACAGTTTTCTGCCCCAGCCTCACGCCATGGTTGTCGCGGACACGCTGGCTCCCAGGTCCTGGCAGTTGGTCCCGGCAGCACAAAGGTCCGTGCGGCCGCGGTGGACTGGTAACCAGCACAAAGGCTGTGACCGTGGAGGTGAACTTCTACCCGCTTGTTCTTCCACCCTGTCCGTGAGTTCACTTCCAGCAGACCACATCTGGGGCCCCAAATTCCACATTCCAAAGCAACCTGGGTGGGAAGGAAGGACGGTATCATCGACGGCTTGTTTCTGCTGGGGGTTAGCAGGCTGAGGAGGGACGGTGGCAGGCCCCGCTCCCAGAGTAGAAGATGGGCCCTTCAGGAGAGGTGGTGCCTCTGTGAGCGCCACAGCGCCAGTCAACTCTTGCCACGCTTCCTCCTCCACCTCACGTCTCCTTGCGGCTCCCACCCCCACCCGGCAGCAGGAAGCCAGCAGCCACTCAGGCCCACTGGGAAAGAAGAGCCGGCCCGGCCTGCGGCTCCGCTCTGTGCCAGACGCTGGCTGGGCACTTTCTGTTTACGCTTCTTCTCGTGGAATCCTCACATCGGCTTTGGGAGGCGGGTCTCTTTATCCTCATTTGACAGATGTGAGAACGGAGGCTCCTCGCAGTTCGGTGATTTGGCCAAGACTACAGCGTGGGACCGGAGCCTGAGTGTGGGAGCCAGATGCTGTTCCGCAGTCCCTTCCATTGTTGTGACTTGCCGGTCCTTGAATGCCTCTGCCCACCTCGTCCTCTCGCCTGGGCTCCAATTCCATGTCCTGGGAAGCCTGTGGGTCTCCCCATGAAGCCTGAGCATCGTGGCGCGTCGCGGGGCCCGGGGTCCCTTGTACACGAATTACTCACACCGTTGTCCTCTGGGCTGGACTGTAGCCACGGAAGGCTTGGCCACGCCTCCCTCCCATCTGGCTCTCCCAGCCCTGCCTGAGCTCTGTGCAGGGGACGCACGCAGCCCCGGCTCATTGAACATGTGCTGTGATTGCCATGTTCCTCTGGCCCTCCCCAGCCTCTGGGGGCTCAGAGCTCCCAGGACGAGGGGTGCCTCAGTGTGTCTGTGACACGTATGTGCCTCCCACGGCTCTAGGAGAGGAGTCCTCTCGGCCTCTAGCCTCATGCCTCCAGCCACCAGGGGCACGTACAAGTCGCTGGGTTGTGCTGAAGCTTCGGGAGAGAGTTCCAGAGCTGGAGAGACAGCCCTTGGGCATCAGTTGGCTGCTGCCTCGGCTGCCTGTCCAAGGAGCCCTGGAGGCCCCGGCTGCTTTGGAGGCACCACGGTGTGCTCATGGCTGGGCCTGGGCCGGCTGGGCCGGAGTGCAGGGGCCTGCTGAGGAATCCATCTCCACGTTTGCAGAGAGTTTCACAGTATGTCTCCGGCCTTCCTAAAAGTTGTGGCCGGCTCTGCAATGCACTGTGAGCTGGAGCTTGCTCTGAGGAGGTCTGCCCGCTAATTTTCTCACTCTGTACTTTTCTGAACTCTAAAAAATGTGTGTATATCACTTCTACATTAGGAAAAGACTCCCAACAAAAGCTTCCATTGCCTGATGTTATGGCCAGGTGACTCTGGACAACCTCCTTCAGCTCTCAAAGGCCCAGGGTCCTCCTCTGCAAGGTGGGGTTCAGAGGGCTCCCGCCTCATGGGGATGCTGTGAGGAGCGGAGGGGCGGGTACCTCTGCAGGGGTCTGTGCAGCGTCTGGGCACCAGCAAGCTCTCACCGGTGCGAACTGTAACTGCAACCATCACTGTCGCTGCTGATGTTACTCGATCGTCATCTGAACGCGGGGAAGTAGGCAGCACTATCCCATCGTTCACACGGTGAGACGGAGGTCCGGAAGGGGTAGGGACCCACCCATTCACATGGTGAGACGGAGGTCCGGAAGGGGTAGGGACCCACCCATTCACACGGTGAGATGGAGGTCCGGAAGGGGTAGGGACCCACCCATTCACACGGGAGACGGAGGTCCGGAAGGGGTAGGGACCCACCCATTCACACGGTGAGATGGAGGTCCGGAAGGG